TGACACTGATATGCACCAAGCGAAACCCGAGTCACGCAAGGACCATCCTGCAACAGGCGAGCCCGTACTCGAAACACTGGCTCGCGCAGCCAAAAACGGCCCGAGAGTGCTTCTCATACGAATGGGCATACCCGAACGTATCCTGGCCGCGTGGCAGAGAAACGGCTCCCCCACGCACATCGGCTGCTGAAACCCTGGCCCACCCAATCTTTGGATCATGACCCAAGTCTTAGGTCGGGCCTGTCCCCCTACAGGCGGATTTGGGGTGAAAAATTTAAAATACTGAAGCAATGATCCCCGAATGCTTAGAAATAGTTTTAAAAATAGTCCCCAGACTTGTGATTGACTATCTTTGAAGATTCCTCCTGTAGAGGGACAGGCCCGACTTAACCCAAGTCTCTGGTGCCCGTTCGGGACGATCCGGCGTCCCCGGAACGCGCTCGGCGAGGCGCCGCCGCTGGAGAGCACCCCCCCAGAGACCTCGAACCTCCCCCAGGGCCTATACAGAGGGCAAACAATCCACCCCCATATAGTAACCACCCCAACACGCGAGGCCATTTAGTAAACGCACCTAAAAAAATCGAACAGGACAGGGCCCCGGTAAACGCCCAAGGCCGTTTAGTAAACGCCAATTGTCTGGTCCGGGGTGGTTTTTTATCCCTTGACGATGCCCCCCCTGAGCCTGGCCTGTCCCACCACTAGCGGTGCCCCTATACGGCCCCTCGCCCGCGCCGCCGCCGAGTCCTGCAGCTGCAGCAGCGCGTACTCCGTCTTGCCCACGCCGGGCGGGCCGCGCAAGATGAAGAGCTCCCGGGGGAACCTGAGCATCGTTTAACCGATCCCACCGGCGTGGCCTGGGCCCCACTGGTCGACTTACCTCCCCAGATGGGGATATAATCCCGGGATATATGTAGGCTGTCCCCTTCGGGTTCCGAGGGGCCTATCCCCAGCTGGGGTACAGTGGGATGGTGGGGCTGAGACACCCTGGCCCGGTGGGGGTGGGAATCGGTTCCATGATACTGAGAGCCTGGGCCTCGACGCGACCCTCGTCGCGTAGCGCACCATCGTCAGGCGCTGGCGCGCGCCCTCGCCTGACGAGCAACGTCGGGGGGCGACTGGTTCAGGGGGAATACCGTCGACATGGAACCGGCGACAACACCGCCGATAGATCGGCGATAGGCCCCCCATCGTGAATCTAGACGGTCCTGTGCGGGGTGGGCTCTATCGGGCCCCTGTCGGCGACGAGTGGGGGGGGTCGATGCGTCCCCTCCTGCGCCTGTCCCCGCCCCAACGTTGCCCCTGACTCGGGCGCTCAGGCCACAGCACGAGCCTCAGGCGGCCGTTTGGGACGATTCGGGCACCCCGGGGACGCTCTCGGCGAGGCGCAGCTGCTGGAACGCACCCAGAGGCTGGAAAACCGTTAAGCACCGACGACAATGCCCGCACACCGAAAACCCCGTCACGCTGCCCCTGATCACCGTGGCCCCGCTCCCTGCGAAAGAGGATCTTGGAGAGCTGGGCGATGCACTCGTTGCGGCCCTTCCGCACCGCCGCGGCCACAGACGCCTCGCCGTGGACCTCCTCGTCCTCGCTCTCGCTCTCGTCGCCGATGGTCACCGTACCCCGGAGCGCGTTCGGGTCATGCTTCGGAGGCTTCGGTGCCACGGCTTCTCGTTTGACCTCCGACTTGACCATCTCCTTTCGGGCGCGGACCAATCCGACTCAACGCAAACCCAGCTCAGCCAGTGTACGAAGACTGCAGCGTAATTTTCGTTGGCGGCTTCTCAAAGCCGGCTCGGCTGGATATATGCCTCCAAGGTTAGGTCGGGCATGTCCCCCTACAGGCGGATTTTGGGCGAAAACTTAACAAACAAATGCTGCAACAAAATTTGTTGCAGCATTTGGGGGTATTTAATACCCCCAAATAGGCCAAAAGTATTCCAAAAATCGTCCCCAGACTATGTTTTGACTACTTTTGAGCACTCCTCCTGTAGGGGGACATGCCCGACGTAACCTCCATAAAGGCCGCGAGCGGCTCCCCGACCCGGCAAATGGCTCAATATATTCCAGCCTTGCCAATCCAGGATGCCCTGCAGGATCCGGCGCTCTGGCTGCGCCAAGGCAGCGCTGACCCGAGGGGCAACGATAGGGTTAAGTCGGGCCTGTCCCCCTACAGGCCGATTTTGGACGAAGAATTAAAAATACCCCAAAAAGATACTCAAAAATTATTAAAAAATAGTCCCCCCGACTATTTGTCGACTATTTTTTGATATTCCCCCTGTAGAGGGGCAGGCCCGACTTAACGATAGGGGCCCAGACATGATCGCGTCGTAAAGATCAGGGAGGGAGGCTTTTTGGCTATTTTCGGCCCGGGGAACCCTCGCCGGGCCTCGGGACCATCAAAAAACGACGCGCGAGGAAAAGCCGGTCCGGGTCGGGACTTCCAGGGACGCCGCCCTGAAAAGATCAGGACGTCGTATGTCTGGGGGGGGAAAGGCAAAGGGGGGGGGGAACATCGACCTGGAATGGGCGATGCATCGCCGATAGATCGGCGATGGGCCCCAGATAGTGAAAAACCGTACCCTCCGGGGCAGGCTGGCGCTCTCTCGGGCCCCTGTCGGCGATCCATGGGCGACTGGGGGGGGCCGATGCATCCCCCCCAACTATGCCCATCCCCCCCTATCGTTGCCCCTGATGACCCCCGCTTCACGTGTGCTGCCGCTGCAAGTATTACACGTGCGGCGGGCAAGTGCGCGGACTGCGCAACGAATGCAGACCCCTTCCCCAAAGCGGGGCCCAAGGAGGGAAGCATTCCTGGAACCGCATCTCCACGGGTTGGCACCCCAGGCTCGACGGTGTTACAGTCGACGTTGGGCCCTGGTTGATTCCCCCCGATGAGTGATCGGTTCCCTTCTCTCGTTCCCCCTCTGTGACCCCTGTGTTTTTCGCTCTCCCCCGTGCCGTGGATGTTGAAACAAACCCGCTTGACGCGCGCCCCGATCCTTCTTGACGCCCGGCGGCCCGGCCGGCGGCCTGGGCCCGTCGGGCGGGCGGGGCCCGCCGAGCTCCCGCTTCACGCCGCCGCCTGCCGGGGTGAGGGGCGCCCCGCCAGGCTCCGCCTTCGCGCCCCTCCTGGGAGGGCCCGGGGGCGGCCGGGGCGCCTCCTCCTCGGGCAGGCCTCCAAGCTGGGGTCCGAGCAGACGGGGCCGGCGGGTCGCCGATGCATCGCCGACGCATCGGCGACGCATCGACGCCGTCGGTCCCGGTGCATCGGGGAAGAGGGCGTGGAGAAGAATGGACCTCCGCATCGCGCGCCGCATCGCCGATGCATCGGCGATGCGGCGCGATCCTCCGACCCCATCTACTCGGACCCCTTTTGGGAGGCCTGAATCCTTCTCGTCCTCCTCCCTCAGCTCCGCCTTGATGGCGATGAGGTCGGACTTGGGCGCGAACTTGCTGCGGAAGACGGAGAGCAGATCGTCGTGGCCGCGCAGGATCCTGACCGCCGCCTTGGCGTCGACGGTCCCCGAGAGGGACATCACGAACTCGTGGTACAGGTCCACCTTCCCCCACTCCACTAACCTCGCCTTCACCGCCGCCAGGAAGGCGGCTGCGGACATCTCCTCCTGCAGAAGGGGCAGGCCATAAACTTTCGGAGGCTCGCGCGGATGTCTTGGGTCGGCGCTGCACCCCCCTCCCCAGCGCGCAGAGCGCGCCAGCGGCTGCGCAGGAGGCGCCGCAGAGGGGGTCCAGCCAGCGCCGACGCGAGGCATCCGCGAAGACCGCCGCGGGCCGATGTCAGTGCCGCTGCTTCGGCGGAGGCGGCTGGGCGACGATCAAAGGCGGGTATTGCGCGAGCTGACGCAGTGACCTCACGCGGCGGCTCACGCGGCACGCTGCGCTGGAGGCGAGGGCGCTCGCTTGCGCGAGCCTGCGCGGGCAGCTCGCGCGCCAACGTCGGCGCAGACGACCCCGCCTTCTGCTGCGCGGCCCACATGGGGGAGAAGGAGGAGGAGGGGGAGGAGGAGGAGGAGGAGGAGGAGGAGGAGGAGGAGGAGGAGGAGGAGGAGGAGGAGGAGGGAGGAGGAGGAAGGAGGAGGAGGAGGAGGAGGAGGAGGAGGAGGAGGAGGAGGAGGAGGAGGAGGAGGAGGGATAGCTGAGGAGTCGACCCCACACGCACTCTCCAGGGAGCCCCGCCGACGACAACACGGGCCATCATGGTCGCTTCGTGCCGCGAGCCCCTCTCCCCTGGGCTGTCGGCCCCTGCGGTAGCCGCCAGGCCAGGCATCCGCTGCCTCGCGGCTGTTTCCGCACGGGCCCCCCGAGAGTCCCACGACGGAGCCCCAGACATGATTGCGTCGTAAAACAATCAGGACGGGAAGTTTTTGTTGGCTATTTTCGGCCCCGGTGGGCCCTCGCCGGGCCTCGGGACCGTCAAACAACGATTCAGGACGACAAACTGGTCCCCAAGAAAGGGTCAGGACTTCCAGGGACGCCGCCCTGAAAAAGTCAGGACGTCGCATGTCTGGGGCCAGGCAAGGCAAGGCAAGAAGCCGTGCATCCATGAAGGACGCGTGGGCAGAAATAGCAACTACTAAGTTGCCGCGGCCGCAGCGGGCGCTTCTAGGGGGGAGGAGGTGGAGGAGGCAAAATGCTTCAGATGCTCAGGTGACCGAGGTTGTAGACGGATTGCGCCCATTGCTGCCTGGGTCTCCCAGACGAGGATAAAATCGGGTGGGGATAGATCGAGAATCTCTGAGATCCGGCGGCTCTGGGAAGATGCCGCGGGCGCCACGGCGTTCCCAGAGCGTCTCGGAACGCTCTGAAAGCGTTCAGGCACGCTCTGCAACGGACTTGTCCTCGTCCTGGCCCCGTCCGAAGTGCCGACCCTTTCCCCGGGGCCGGTTGTGCGTCCCGAGTCGACCTTTGACGGTCCCGGGGCACGTCAAGGGCCCCCCCGGCAGGGGCTGGCAATTGCCAAGAACCTCCCGTCGTGGTGGTTGCTCACGGCGCGAGGGGGTCCGGGGGCAGCCGCCGCTTTTCCTTCCCCGATCCTGGTCCGTCGGCACCCCCGGCGGCGTGTGGTCCTCTTGTGGACACCCGAAATGAGTACGGAAGCAATGGGCACCATGATGCCCAAAACCGACAGCGGCCGCTGTTGGGCAGGCGGCCTTCTGTCTCCAATGAACAGCGTCCGCAGCGAGGCCGCCAGCGAACCCTGTTCCAGAACGGGCGAGGACTGCTGCTGCTGCTGCTGTTGGTCGTCGTGCCGATTCTTTCCGTAGCCATTCCGAGCGTACCAGTCTTGAGCAGGGCCCGACCGTCCCGGCATTTCTATAGGCCTACCACGACATGTTCTTAGAACCCCAAAATGTGCGAAGAACAAAAACAATGTTCGTAGAACATCAACCAGATGTGTAAAAAAACAGTCCCAGCCAGAAATGTTCTCAGAACATGTCGTGGAAACCACGAAAGGTTCTTAGAACATTGTTTAGTAGGCGTAGAGGCACGCCAGGACGCTTCGCCACTGCTTCACAGTCCTCGACCGCGCCACCGTGCGCGGGCGCCGCCTTGCCGGCCGCCGCGCGCGTCCTCCTCGCCGCCGCCTCCGGCTCCCGCGGGCGCTTTCGGCCGCCCTGGCTCTCCTCCACCTGCGTGGAGGGCACCGGCTGCGTGACCGATCCTCTGCACGGGCCCAGAGTGGGCCCATGGGGCCGGCGTGCAGCCCATATTACCCAGACCCCCGACGTCACGATTTTTTCATTGCGTCGACCCCTGGAGGTCTCGACCCATTCCCCTGGACCGGTTGTTTGCATCCCGAGTCGTTTTTTGACGGTCCCGAGGGCCGAGAGAAGGGCCCCCAGAAGCCGAAAATAGCAAAAGACCCCCCGTCATGATTGTTTCATTGCCCAAGGGGGTCTGGGTACACAGCAATCGTGCTGCCCTCGGCAGTGCTGAGTACGGCACGAAGGGGCTTTCCTGGTCACGGCAAACCTGCGCCCCGGACGGGCGCCCCCCGCCCCAGGCCCGAGGAAGGGCCCTCAAGCCAGAGGCCCGCGTGAACCCACATTGGCCTTGATCTCGGGGTCTTGGCTTTACGCGCCTCCCTGGCCCATGGCAGAGAGGCAGGTGCACCGATCCTGTGCCAAAGACCATGTGTGTGTGTCATGTGGGCACGTGACTGCGCAATGAACGGCGCCCCCATGATTCGTCACGGACAGAGATCCGGTAAGACAGGATGCTCCGAATCATTTCTCTCCCAACCTCCGCCCCCCCGCTCGTTCTTTGCATCCGGCGTGGCCCTCGTTTGCCACGGACTCGGTTTGAGCAGCGCCATACATGCGGCTGCAAGTTACGCAGCCCTCCTGCAATACGGAGGAGAAGAAAAAGAAACAGGGAGGGAGGGGAGGAGCAGACGCAGGAGCAGGAGCAGGAGCACTAGCAGAAGAAGGAGGAGGAGGAGGAGGAGGGGAAGGAGGACAACGACGAGAGGAGGAAGGACCTCTTGACTCGAGAATGAGGGCGCACCTCTTGAACCCCTCGGAGCACCAAAGAAAGGGTTGGAGACCGCGCACTCGGAGAAAAGGAAACTAAGCGGGGGGGGGAGGGGGAGGGGGGAGGGAGGCGCGGACGGAGGGGGCCCGAGACGGGGGGAAGGGAGACGAGGCGGATGAACAGGGGGACGAGGAGGGCGAGGGAGGAAAGGAGGAGGGAGTAGAAGAGGACAACAGGACGGTGGCGCAGGGCTGCGCCGAACGCATGCCCGCGAGCCGCGCAGAGAAGGCATGCCATCCCCTGCAGGGGCCAGTCTATTAGCTTCAATCCCGCCGCGGCTCAAAAACTTGCCTGTTGTTATCGTGGTCGTTCTACCATCGTGCTACCCTACAGGAAGTGCTGAACAATGAACGAAGGGCTTTCCTTGCCACGACAAGCCGCGTCCACGGACAGGTTCCCAGCCCTGGACCTAAGGAAGAGCCCCAAAGCCAGAGCCCCTCCTGAACACAGAGTGGTCCTTCTCTCGGCGCCTTCGCTGTACACTGCACACGCCCTCCATGGCCCAAGGCAGGAGGGCACGTGCACCGATCCTGTGCCCAGGATTGTGGGTGTATGTCGGGCCGGGCGGAAGGGGGGGATAGCAAAGGGGGGGCTTGAGAATCAGCTCACGTAGCTGACTTTCCCGGCGCCTCCCGGCGCCGGAGGCGGCCATGTATCGAGGAATGGGCCCCTCGGTGGGGCTGAAACCAGCTGCACGCAGCAGATTTCGTCACCCCCCCCTTTCCCTCTCCGCCTCTTTCGTCTGGCCCGAGCATGGATCGGATTGGCGCCCCCCCGCCCACTGCTCGGAGAACGACCCGAGCCCCACCGGAACCTCGCAGCCGCCTCGAAAACCCAACCGGCTCCACACGAGGAGTGGCCACGGCACCGCTTCGCGGGGGCCCCTCCGATCGGCCACCTGTGAAGGGGCCCTGGAACACGCAAACAAAATACACACAAAGAACAGGAGTCCAAATCATTTCCCATATTCTCGGGGTTTTTGCCTTCCTCCCCACTTCCTATCATTTCCTAGGAATATCGACACTTCACTGTGTCTGTGTGTTTTTGTCCCTCCCGAATACCTGCCGCTGCACCTGCAGCCGGAACCTCTGCCTCTCCGCGCGCGAGGCGGGCACGGCGCCCGGCTCGCCCGGCCAGGCGCCCGCGTGGGACACCTTTGAGCAGAGACGACCGTCCCGGCATTTCTATAGTCCTACCACGAAATGTTCTCAGAACCCCAAAATGTTCTTAGAACAAAAACAATGTTCTTAGAACATTGACCCGATGTGTTAAACCAAGACAGTCCCAGCCAGAAATGTTGTAAGAGCATTTCGTGGAAACCATAAAAGGCTCTGAGAACATTGTTTGGTGGGGCTACAGGCGAGCCGGGACGCTTCGCCACTGCTTGAACACCTGCCGCGCCGCCGCGGCCGGCGCCGCGGCCCTGGCTGCCGCGGGCGGCGGCGCGGCCCTCGCCGCCAGGCCGGGATGGGCGCTGAGCGGCGGCAGCTCTGCCCGCGGCAGCGCCCGCGCCTCTGTGAGAGTGAGCTCAGGGCAGTTTTTAATACATGGGACTTTGTTTAAATAAAGGATTTTAATACATGACTAATGTATGAATAGATGTGTGAATGAACTCATCGTTGTTTTTAGTGCTAAACCCCTGCATTGTAATACATGATCCGCACGCGGAGCATGTATAAAAAACGGCACTGTATCGTTTCACCGATCCCCATCCCCAGCGGCGTGGCCCGGGCCCCACTGGCCGATCTACCCCCCTAGATGGGGATATAGGCCGGTCCCTTCGGGCTTCGAGGGGTGCAGTTATCCCCAAGTGGAGGGTGATTTGGTGGAGGTCTCGAAGGGGATAGGGATGGAGGTGGGGATTGGTTGAACGATACCGAGAGGGGAGCCACGCAGCTTCTGTAACCAGCGGGCGGTGCTGCCCTCTGGCGGGTCCCGGGGCCCCGCGGGGACCGAGCTGGCTCGGGAAGTGCCGACAGGGCTCGGGCAGGGATGCTCCACGGTGCTGCAATGTCTTTGTGTCGTCGGGCCTCAGGAGGGGCGCTGCTTCTTTCCGGGCGACAGCGGGCGCTACTGGGGGGGAGGGGAGCCGGGAGGCAGCAACGTCACGTCTGGAAAGACCCAGGGACGACGACAGCCAACGTGGAGGTCAGCACGAATCGTGACGTTACCTGGGGGGAGGAGGGCGGCCGGGGCCAGGAACGGCCGTTATCGCGAAAAATTAATAAAGTATCCAGGGAAGGCGCCGATGCCGCTGCCCTTCCCAGGTCAGAAAGCACTCCTGGCGAGTCCTGGCCAGCCACACGCAAGAGCGGCCCCAGGCAACAGTGACCTTAGAGGCGAGGCGCGGGCGAGACAAACCCAGGCGCGCAAGCCGCTGCTATCGCATCGTATGCTGCGGTCAGTGGACCCCGCTGGGCCCGCACCAAAAGTCACACCGGCGAAGGTTATGTTGCATCCTCGGATCCTCAGGGGACCTTGCCTGTCCCGTCGCGGCCCTATCCGTGTCGAACCAGTGTCGAATCCATGTCGGCCTCGACGGATCCGTGTCGAATCTGTGTCGAACCCGCGCCGAATCCACGCCGAATCCGCGTCGGGTCCGCATCGAGCCCGCGTCGAGCACAAGAGAAGACACCATCTTGGGGGACAGGGGAGGTCCCCTGGAGATGCAACGTAACGAAGGGTCACTCTTACTCGGGGGCAGCCAAGAGGGGGGCGTCCACGAGGGGGGGGCGCAAATCATGGCCGGCGGCATGTGCGCGGCCTAGGGGGGGGGGCCAGAGACGCAATGAAACAAGAAGAGGCGCCATGAGATCTGGGGAAATATCATGGCCCACGCCATGATATCCCCCCCCCTAGTCATCATCCCCCTCTTTGCCGCCCCCGACCTACGTGCAGTCGATCTGGAGAGGAGCGGTGTCGGTACCCTTTCGCACCCCCGGCCTCGGCGCGGAGGTCCGAGAGCACGGCCAGCTCGGCCAAGGACCAGGCCTGCTCGGGCTCGTTGGTGCGCCAGCGCAGGTCCCGGCCACCCAGGGACTCCTCGTAGGTGCAGCCGCCGCCCGCGAGCTCACGGAAGGAGTGCCACTCCTGGCGAGGCGGGGACGTATCCCTACCACATAGCCTGGGAACCGACGTCCTGGTGCCCCAGCGGGCGGTGGACATGGACACATCTTGGCCCCCGCGGGCCCGAACAGATCCATACTCCATACCCACCGACCAGGTGGCCATCGCTCGGACGTCCATTCCCTGTGCTTGTCTCAGTTTCGTGCGTGGTTTTTTCGCCAAATGATCAAGGATGCTCCTCGATTGTCCTCGCCGAAGGAAAAAATGCACACGTCCGAGCGGTGCCACGCGGTCGTGGAGGCCCGCGAAGATCGATATCCCCCCGGCGGTGGTCGTGGATTCGTCCCCGCCTCGGACTCCTCCCCCAGCTCGCCGTTGA